AATCCATGTACACAGCGATATGTTTTAATTAAAAAAAAAAAAAAAAATCGGAGAATTGCACAATCTATGCAACATAGGAATTATGAACACCTCACTAAAATAAACTAACATAACAACAATAAATCTCAAACAATACCATGTATACAGCATTCTGTTTTAACTTAAAATATATCAGCAAATTGCACAATCTAGGTATTGTGCACAGCCTCAGCATTGCACACAAATCCACAAAATAAAATAAATTACAAATGATTCAAAAAACAACGACAGAAATTCATAGCAAAAAAAAAAAAAAAAAAAGAACATTCTACAAAATAAGAAGAACAGTGAAATAAAATGCATTTACCATTGTGAATCCTTCTTCAAACAGTAGAAGTATCAATTTCCACCAGTTTATCCTTCCTTTTCCCATCTTCTGAGATAGAACATACAAAGTCCAGCATACATTCGTGAATAAAATTTCACCAGTCGCACGTCTGCAAACAAAAGTGCCCCGATTTTGCTATATCACACGTCTTTCTGCAATTCAAAGTATTGAAAGTAACGATTTTACCTTGCACACAGTCCAAAATATGTGACTGAAATTTTGCCACCACGTCTTTCATTGCATAAGCCATTTCAAAATGCCCACCTAACCAAACAACCAGCAAATAAAACCACTCCAGCAAAATTAAGTTTTAACATCAAAAGGATTGCCATTCAAGCAACATCATGCCCCAAAACCATCGCAGAACTCACAATCGCGTCAAAAACCAGCATAGAACGCATATCGCCACATTTGGCGATGCCATACATCTGAGATCGTATATAAGAGTAGTACCTTAAGTAATAACTGCTAATGGTCAAAAGATGTCAAATTCACATTTCTAGTAGAGATGACTGTCTTTGCCTTTTGTAGTATAGTACAGTCAAACCGTGCTATGACAAACTTCAAGGAACCAAGCATTTGGTTCACTGCATCCAATCTGATGAGGGAAAAAATGGATCATCTCACAAAATAATTTTAAAATTTATTAATCAATCAACTCAGAAAAAGTGGTTAATATTGTTAAATCTCCCAAAATATATTAATAGTAACTATAGTAATTAAAAAAATATATATTAACATGAGTACATGCAGTTTCAGAATTTATCTTTCATTATTTTGGAGCTTCATTAATAAGTTTAAACAAAAAATTACCTAATATTCAATGGGAAAAGTAAATTTCAGGGTAACTCTTGGCAAAAAGTGGAGATTTTTTTTTGGTTCCATTCTTGCTTATATGTAATACCCTCCAAAGTAAAATAGCATCCAAAACATAATTAAAATATAAAAAATTATAATCTCAATAAACTGCAGTTTAAATCAAAATAAAACAAGGAGGTAGCATAAAAATGAAAATACATGTCATCTAGTCTGCACAGTACAAAAAGGAAATATCGACTTGCCTTATTTAAAAATTTCTATGTCTTTGGTGTGTGGCACACAGAATTCCTTAACAGCATCCAAAAACTGTTTAAAATTATCCCAACTAGAATCTGTATATTGTGGTTGCAACAGAAATTCACAAAAGTAAAAATAAAAAATATCATATGTACTGCCATACTCTCGGTGGTATTTCTTTCAAAAATCACTTTTTATCGCCTTGGATGCTGCGCCCGAGGACGGATGTCCCCCGTTGCCCCACCCTAGTTACACCACTGTTCCTAACCAACATCCAATGCATAAATAAGCCTTGAGAAATATTTTCCCAACAGTCAGAATCATCGCAATCACGTCATAATAGGGTTTCCATAACATTCAACATAAAATACTCAGGTTACTGTAAATAAAACAACAACTTGGCAATAATCCAAGGGGTACCCTAAAACATAGACTATCCCATTAAACTTGTAGTTTAGACCTGTCCCTCCATTACAGTTATGAATAAACATCAGCCTTGAACAGTCTGAGAGCTTGGTCGAAAAACTGATTCATGCTCTTTGTTTCAATGGATCAGTGGTTGTTTTGCTTGGCTCAATGTTTGACTTGGTAAGATATCTTGGAAGGGTTGTTGGGGCAGACTGCTGATCCTGAGGGCCTCCGAAGAACCTTAAGTTTTTTAAGTATATGTACCTTATGAATATAAAAGAGGATGAAGCTAAAAAGTTGTCTGCATTGAATCAGACCGTAACTTATATTTGACATTAAAGCCTTTTGACAGTTTGTGTTTCAGTTGCTTCTTCAGAGAGAAGCTTTTCAGTCAGCAAAGTTGATTAAAAGCTATCTTCTATGAACAGTGAGCCAAGTAAGACAAAGGTTTGGCAAAGTCCTTCCCATGGAAAATGTAATAGTTAGAAACATTAATTTTGATGAAGCTATAAAAAAATTTCAAAAATCAAAAGTAACACACACAAAGAAAAAGCAGCTTTAGCTTTTTTTGTTAACAGAAAAGCTTTAAAAAAAAAAAAAAAAAATGTAAATTACCAAAAAAGGCAAATTAATTAGCTTTTTTAAATCTATCACTTATTGCTTAGGTCAGCTAGAAAAATTTTAACCTCTTTCCCTTCCCCTACTCCACCAGAGCAGGTGCATCCAGTTCAGCTGCATCACTAGTCAGAATTTAGAAGCGTCAAAAATGAGGGCTGGCAGAATTATCAGAACTTGCAAAAGGCACAGGGCAAATACAGTTCAGAGATGCAACATTTTTAGAATTTAGGAAGCCCAGCAGCAGAATTTAGAACTCTCACACTGGGCAGCAAAGTGCATAGTGCCAACCCCCCCCCCTCCCGAATGATTTTACAACATTGACTACTGGCATCTTAAAATCACCAGATTTGCATAACGTTCTTATATAACATGAAACGTCACCTGTCGGTCAAAATTTGAACTGTTATTTTTATTGTAGTTTTCTTTTTCCCATGGTCTATGTAACATATGTACAGTCAAAAGTCTTTAATCCGGACGTCCATAATCCCGAATGATCTATAATCCAGACCTAAGCTACGCACTTTCTGCGCATGCATGCATTTACGAATGCGCATAATACCTTTACGCATGCGCATTTAATGTATAATGGACGGTATAAGCTAAGCTAAAATTATCTAATTATCTATTTCAGTCAATGTTACGGATTGCATTGTTCCTTAATCTTCGAATTGGATCCGGCTTATTATTTTTTGCAGACTGTTAGAGCAATTTTATAAAAGTAAGCTTGAACTTTCGATTATGACAAAAAGAATTTTCGATTCTGGATCTGGCAAAGGATCTACAAAGCGAAAGCATGTTTCGATGTCCATCAAACAAAAGTGGAATTGCTGCAAAAAATGGATAAATGCATACCCTTTGTTTCTCTAATCATTCCGAAATCTGTGTATCAATTTAACGCTGCTCTGCGGAGGGAGGGGGGACGTCACGGCATTCAATGAACTGGAAGTTAATCTGTCAGCACTATCCTTATCTTCAGGGCAAATGTTTTTATTTTATTTGGCTTATAATTTCTTACTAAATGTAGTATTTCATCTGAATGTACTCCGTCTTTGATATGATTTAAATCAAATTCCTCGTCATCATAAATATCACGAATACACATCAAATAGTTTTCTGGTTGCGATTTTCTAATTTCGACTATGCGCAATGTGTGCTTTATGCATGCGTGCATTGAAAGAAATGTTTAATAAAGTAAACAAATAAATATTGAGCTTTTTTTTGTAAATTTTGATACCCTTTAGATCATAATTGCTCTTTATTTCATAAATTATGGTTTCATATTTTTAATTTTATAATTTCTGCATGCCATCTTACCAGATTTAAATTGATTATCTATAATCTGGAAAAACTGATAATCCGGAATCCCCGACAAGTCCAGATTAAAGACTTTTGACTGTACTAAGTTTCAATGAATAGGTGTACCAGAACAGGTTCTACATAGGTCTAAATAGGGTAATTTATAATTAACCACCCTGCATCATAAAAACAGAGCACTGTAACTTAAAATCACTTCAATAATATATGAATCTGATAGATGACTTATAAAATTATTATAAGTATTTTAAATTATTCAAAAACTGGTAAATTTTACTGTATTTATATTGCGTATACTAGGGATGCACTACCTGTGGCCCATACCTCTTAAAACTTTTGTTGCGATTTGACATATCGATTGTCTCTAAAAGTTGTGAGCAGAAAAAATTTCATTGCTTTTCCCTTCGTTACTCATTCTACTGTCTCCACTCAAAGTGAGATTTGGCACTGAGCCAAGTTCCCAGTGTCAACCAAAGGAAGTTTCACAGCCTGAGTGTGAAAATTGCTCCTAGCCTGTACCGTGCACAGATTGAGGAAGGGTCTGTAGTATGATGTAGCATGTGTGTATTTGCATGCATCTGTTAGTAAAAAGGGAGAGAAAAGTATTTGCTGTGATCAGAAGCGCTGCATTCATTTGCTTTGCATTGCTGCACTTTCGGCTTCGTGACTATACATTGTGTTATCACTTGTGAGTTGACTTTTCTTTTTGAGACCGTTAAGAAGTTTCTTATGTTTATTCTTTCACTTTTTTAAAAAATATTATTTTGAAAGAGGAATCAAAGTAGAATTTTTGTTCCATGTGGTTTCGATAGTTACTTGCCATGATGATCGAAAATGAAAAGAAAGGTAAGGGAGGCTAATAAGAAATTTTCGGAGACCTGGACTTCGAAATACCTTTTTGTGGAGCAAGATAATAGAATTTACATGCTTGGTATGTAATTTTACGATTAGTGTCTGCAAGGGGTATAATATTAAGCAACACTATGACACCTCAACATTTTAAAAGCTTGGGGATCGAAATCGTAAAATTAAATCTCTTTGCTGTTCTTTTGTTGCACAAAGGAATGTATTTACAAAGGCATCTTCATAATTAAAAAACTGTGTTGAAATAGCCTAAATTGCTAAAAGTAGCCGTCCATTTACTGATAGCGATTTTGCAAAGGCTTGTATATTGATAGCGTCTGAGAAAGTATGCCCTGAAGCTACGAAGAAATTTAAAAATGCGAGTTTCAGCAGAATGACAGTTCAAAGAAGAACTCAGAGTTTATCTAGTGATGTCAATGAACAATTACAGATTGCTGCTGCCAAGTTTAAGTACTTTCCTGTAGTAGCTGATGCTTCAACAGCACAGCTGCTTTTGTTTGTTAGAGGAATTTCTGAAAATTTTGAAGTAACTGAAAAATGTGTTGAAATGAATTCAACGTAGAGTCAGACAACTGGAGCTGATATTTTATCCTGCATTTGAAATTTGTGTCCTGCACATAATTTTGATTACTAACATGTTGTTAGTATCACTACTGACGGAGCTCCAGCAATGATTGGAATTCAGAGTGGCATGGTGAGTCTACTGAGAAACCATTTGGATGATCGATGCAAAGATTTGCTTGGGTATTATTGTATCATACACCAAGAACAGCTGAGTGCGAAAGAAGTAGGATTTGACCACACCTTATAAAGGCAGTGAGCAATACAATCAATTTTATTCATTCGCATGTTTTGAACCACAGGCAATTTAAGGAAATTCTAGAACACACAGATGCACCACATAGTGAACTCAAATATTACTCTGAAGTATGGTGGATAAGCCTTGTAAAGGTTTTGAAAAGGTTTGCTGATTTGATTGATGAGGTAATACCATTCCTTGAAGAAAAAGTTAATCAAAGTAGGATGTTAAAGGAATCATCTTTCAAGTATGACTTAGCATTTTTAGCGATGTGACAGCCCATCTGAATGACCCAAACAAAAAATTGATGTGATAAAAAATCCAGTCCATCAGTCAACTGGCCAGTGCAATATCTGCTTTCAAATTGAAACTGCAGCTGCTCTCAAAACAGCTTGGCTGTCAAAATTTTGTCAATTTTCCTTACTTGAAGAAACTCGGAAAATTTTCCTGTTAAACAACTGGATTATTCAGATCAAATAAAGATACTGCTTACTTCTTTTGAAAAGCAATTTACAGATTTTGAGTTGCATAAGGTTAAATTTAAACTGTTTGGGGATCTATTTTCTGTTGTAGACGAAGAAGCTCCAGAAGATGTTCAAATGGAACTTATTTGATTTGCAAACTTCTGGCTTATGCATATCCAGATTCCATGATTTAGTCATTCTTGACTTTTTCCCTTAAAAAATAATGTGAGCAGGTGGCTACCATGCTTGGTAGTACTTGTATATGTGAACAAATATTTTCTCTTTCGAATCTAAATATGTCAAAAATAAGAAATAAACTGACAGATCAACACTTGCAATCTGTCTTAAGAATATCAACAACTAGCTTTCAATCAAATATATCAAAAATTGATGATAAAATTCAGTCTCAACCATCACACTAATGTATTTAACTATGGCTAACCTGTACACATTTTTATTAAAATATTTATATACTAAATTATCATGCATAAACATTAAACTGTAATTTTTTCTTCAAGCTGAACTGGGTGGCTTGGTCCCAGTAGCACATGCAAAGGGACCTGCCCTGCCTTCTTGCTTACATACATATGTAATGGTCTCCAAATCAGTTTAAATTTGATATGGTAAATGTCTGAATTGCAAATTAAGCAACTTATTGCATAACTAAGTCATTTCTGTGAGTGGCTCTTCTGCTAAAAGTTTGTGCACCCCTAGCATATACACTTAAAAAATTAAAATATTTTGTAATAGTGTTAAAGTATATCAAATATGTCACCCATACGGATAACATATTTAAGCTTACTAAACATGAGCATTTGCAGAAAATTTTCCGTGGAGGCAGGGAGACAAAGATTGGAGGCAAATAATTACATCACTTAAATTTTTATTTAATTTCATGTCTAGATTATAGAATACATCATCACAAAAACTTATTTTTCATTCTCTTCCAAGCACGCAAATACCCAAATTGCCTCCTCTTGCAGATACTGGTGTAGTTATATGATGGCATAAATCCAAAATTTTTCAATTTGCATTTTTAAATATTAATTATATGCAGCAAAAGCAATCTAATTTAGTTTTTAATGAGAATTATTATAATGTACTGTAGACACCCTCAAAATATCTATAGCTCATGGATAATTTAGCTAGCCCTTTGATATAAATACACTGCCCTCCAAAAAGGAACAGCATGTTTTTTGTATCTAATTTGAGAATGAAATAACATAGAAACGAGAAATTTGCAGGACAAGTTATGAAATAGAATGTTTAAGTAGTAACTTACTTAAGAAGAACTATACTTAAGAAGTAATGAATACAACATAGAATACTTTTAAAGTTCAACAAAAACAAGTATTACAACAAAAAATTGCACTTTTGGCACAGAAATCGAGGCTTGGAGAAACAGTACATCACAGTTTTTTGGGGGAAAATGTGGTCGTAACATTAAAAAAATGGACTCTAATAAAGAATATGTCCACCCCTACTGCAATACATTGGCGGCAGGGACGTTCCATACTGTCAAGTTGTCGGTCAGTGATATGGGAAGCAATCACCAGACACAGAAAAATCTTTGCTCAAGCTCACCTAGCGACCTTGGAGGAGGACTTAAAGTAGCAACCTGCCTAACAAGGTATTCCCAAAGATGCTGTATCAGATGATTCATATCTGGGGACTGAACTGGCCATTCCATCCATTCCATACCGTGACCCTCAGGATATTCTTCAGGAAACCGAGCTCAGTGAGATTATGTATTGTCATCCATCAGAAGAAATCAAGGTCCAAGAGCAGCGGCATATGGGAGGGCATATTGATCAAGGAATTCGTCTCGATATCTCACACCAGTCAAAATTCTTCTATGAAACACATACAGGTCAGTGTGACCACTGAAAGAGATCCCAGTCCAAACCATTATTCCAGCACTGTGTCTTTTCCCTATGTGGGATTGGTTGTATCTGATGCATTGTTCTCTCCATATCAGCAGACAACCTCAATCACTCTCGAGTGTGAACTTGGACTTGTCTGTGAGGAGAACAGATGCTGATTGTTGACTGTTCGAGGAGAAGTTGCTCTCTTGCCTAACATAAATGGGGCCCTCTGTGTCCTCGGGTCATGGAGACACAAACAACTGGTCATTTTGCATAAAGACCTGCATAGTGCAGGCATCTGCATACTGTTGTACCTGAGATTCTTGTTTCTGTTGCTACTAAATGATCTGCCATGAGCTGAGGCACAATAATTTTGCTCCTTCTTTAGGCCGAAAGAGCTAAATAACGTCTCCCGTAGGTGTTGTATGTCTTGATCTGCCTGGAACATGTCTTCTAGCTATAGAATCCTCGGTTTCAAACTGATTCCACAGTTGGTGGACCACATTACGAGAGACATTAGGACATCTAGCAGCATCAGCATATGACATCCCCATTTCCTTCTATCTGCCACCTCAATGAATCAGACAAACGACTTCTCCTGGATATTGTCAACGAAATTGTTCTTGCAATTTTTGCATTTTTTCCTCCACCTGCGATATATGTATTAATAAATAAAATAAAAGTGGTAGCTGTTGTTTTTGCATATATTTTCTTAAACTTCATTATTATCATGCGTATAAACTTAGGAATTTAAATGCTACTGACATTTTTATAATGGTGAGCTTTGAAAAACATGCTGTTCCTTAACTTTTGTAGGGTAGTGTATATAATGTTTTTCACCTTTATTGAGTTTGTATTCTAAATAATGTTTCTTATTTTTTAATTTCGTTTTTCTTTTTTATATGTTTGATCTCAATAAATAATACTCTAAGGCAGTTGGCACACGCAAAAGTTTATATCATCCACACTTGTATCACCTGTATAGTCCTTTTCCATGATTCTTATGGGAATATTTTGTGTTCCAAGTTCCTTTCAAGTCTGAACATGTTTAGAATCGGATGTAAACTGAATTTAGAGTAGCCACTAAAAAGAACATAGGCCCTTTGTTCTAGATTCCAGTCCTTATATTCTCTACACTGGTTTGGGTAGTCGTGCATTTTTTATTGAGGTTAATGAAACACAAATCACTGGCATTTTGGCACAAAGGCTTTTCTGTATGTAGTTTGCCACAAGGTACAAATGTTCCTTGAAAGTTGTGGCATACATTTATGTGCAGAAGCTGATATTAATCCATTAATGACTGCACTACCTTTCACTTTGAGGAATTGAGCAAAAATTATTTTTTGATGCATTAGAATTTAACTAACAGGGAAAAAGAATATCTAATTTTTATTAGAGATGCAAAATGTGGGGGAAACGTGGCATCAGTTAAAACCGAATGAAACATTTGCTATACAAAGACACATTATATTTATTACAAACAGTTATCATTGTTCTTTCACAATGTTGCATCTTTTTCTTATGGCAGTTTAAATTTTCGTGATAATGTCATTTGTAAGATCCTTTATCGTTTCACTGCTGAAAGAATCAATGCTGAAAGAAAAATGGTCGGCCAACCCAATGAGCGTATTAAGATCTGCAAATTTTCAGGATATTCTTCCTTATTTCCAGTAATGCCAGTGCAATACTTCTTTAGAAATCTACCGAAGAATTTTTAGGAGGTACAGCAGTCTTATAACATTCCCCTGCATTTGATTTAACTCCATCAATATGTAAAAATAGGTCACCACCATTTCTTACTTTTTAGTTGTGCATTATGCACATTGCAGTAAAATTCTCCATACAGTCCACACTACCCATATATTTATTGTAATTTCCAGTGAATTTAGGTTGCTTTAAAGTTTTTTTCCTCTCCTCCCTGATTATCTGTAGGCCACTGAAAGTGGATCATTTGCATCAAAATTATTTGCCATAGCTACTATGGAATTGTCACTGTATTGAACTGCTGTAATGCCATGTTGTGATGCCCCCTGTGCTTCTTTCTGCCTGTCTACTTATCAAATGCAGTCATACATTCCATGTTCTCCTTTTATCATTTTGTTTACGTGTATATTGAGACAATTTCCTAACTTTTTCTCATGGATTCTTCTAATGACATAAAATCCCAGATTATTCAATTTATTCATATCTGGCAAAGGAACTTCCACTGCACTTAAAACATCTATTGCCATATTTCCATCTGATCCAAAATCGGTCACTTTCTCTGCAGATTTTCCTGAGTATTTATCAAAATGATACAAGTAGCCTTTAGAAGAACTGAAACAGCAAATTTTGTACCCAATTTTGGTTCTCCTTTGAAAAAAAAGTTTGCATGAATGTCTACCAAAGTAAGTAGCTTGTTGATAGAAAGATGTGTTGAAAAACTGTCGTACTACATAAACTAGCATTTAAAATATTTGGCAGCATCAGCATATGTTGGAGGTCCTGTGAAAATACAATGTAAGTTCAAAGCCATCCAATGACATGCTTACAAATGAATTGCTACAAATGGCTTGACTTATGCCTTATTCTTCCCACAGATTCTTTTTTCCCCATAGATGTAAAAAGATTTAATATCCAGTTTGCACAACCAAGCGTAAGCTCTGATCAAAAGTATCAACAAATGCTTCAAGACACTAATGAAACTGGAATGTGGCATGTTGATTCTAACCTAACAACAATAAGAAAAATGAAGAAGCCAACAATTAGTGAAGTTTGCAGCTGGGTGAAAAAGTTAGGAAATGGTGGGAAGAAAAAGGCTATTATATAGGCCTTTAAAAATTGTGAGATAAGCAACAACATGGATGGTCCAATTTACAGAGAGAGTGCCTCTAGTGATGATAATGAACTAGTTGATGTAGCTTATTGATAGTAGAGCAATGAGAAATTGTTTCTATGATGAATGAAAAATAGTTTTTTCTTTATTAAAATAAAACATTTTGCAGTGAAAGTTCTTTTCAAAATTTTAAGCCCAAATAACTGGGATCCTTATAGACGAGAATTCTTATACATGTTAAAATGCAGTTATTATTTCACAAAATAATGTTTTTATAAACATAAAGTTAACTGTGCATCCAATTGTAGTTATAGTCATTTACTTAGTTTTAATTTTAAAAATCCATGTTTTCCTTCATTGGGTGATTACCTATTACAGAATCTCATCATAAAATAATTTCGTTTTGTATGCTACATCTTTTTTATCATCTGCAATATCTGAAATGCTGTCATTGGTATATTGGGTTCAGAATTTAATTCATCAGTGCAGCAGTCAACATTACTGTGCTAATACCACACAAAAATTATTTCTTTTTTGTCAAATTTATATGAACTAGAAAACTTTCTATTTTATCAATTTGTATTAACCATCTGTGTTATGATCTATATGTTGTGTATTTTGTGTGTGTGTGTGTTGTTTTTGTTATTCCAGTTAACCAGAAAAGCATTCAAAGTTTGAATATCGTAACAAAATTGTTTGTATTGCTTTCTGTAATGCAGAATTGTTGCATTAATGTAAAATTTTAGAAAATGCTTGAAAAATGAGGATTTTAATTAACTGGAAGAATCATTGTTTAGATTTTTGTTATTGTTCTCTGGTTATTTTTAGAATATTAGGTTTTAACGAAAGTTTCTCGCCACTGCAAATATCATTTGCACAAACAGTGTGTGTTGGCATGTTTAATCATATTTTGTTAAATGATTTTTGGCATTTGAAAGAAAGAGACTTGCTTTAGAAAATTGTATTGTGAAATTTGTAAAAAATATATCGTTAAGTGCAAGGTGTCTGAAATGGGACTATCACGCTACCAGATTAGAACCATCATTGACTCTCAGTTCTATTGCAAAACGTCAGCTCCTGAATGTAACCAAATCATGCGTATAGCTTTACGTACTAATGTTGTATCATATGACATTGTGAAGGTTTGTTACCAAAAGTTCAAGAACAAGGACTATAACATTCAAGAAGCAGATTGCCCTGGCTGGCCTACTGATGTTGATGAGACCCACCTGTGAGAACTTGCGGAAGAAGATCAGTATGCAACCACTCGAGAGCTTGCTAAGAGTAAGACATTAGTGCCATGTCCATTAACTGCACTATGCATTGCATAAACTTGACATACAAGTTCAAATTGCTGGGTGCCGCATGAGCTGACTCAAGCAGATAAGGACAGACATGTTCAAGCCTGCACTAATCTGCTCAAATACCAATGCAAGGACAAAATTCTGGACCAGATCATCATTTGTGATGAAAAGTGTATTTACTTCAACAACACAGGTCGAAAAGGGGGTTTGGTCTGCACCCGGGCTGTCATAAGGTGCAATTTGTCTAACAAAAAGACCATGCTTTGTATCAGGTGGGGACTGTCTTAATATTATAAACAAATTATATCTGGAAAAAGGTAAAACCATTGACAGTAAGGTGCTAGTCCGTGTTGGTAATGCTGTCAAGGGAAAACTTTGAACTGAGTTCCAGGGCAAAAAAATAATGTTCCATCAAGATACCGCAAGACCACATGTGTTTGCATTCACGGTCGGGACTCTGTACGGACTCAAATGGAATATTTTGCTATGCCCACCATAAATACCCCTGAATTCGCTGCTTTGGACTTTTATCTTTTTTCACATCTGCAGTTACATCTTGCTGGTGCTATCTTCCATTCTGCGCAGGACTTCTGAAATTAGGTCGATCTGTTTATGGACTTGCGGCTGACAAGTTTCTGGGCTAAAGGCTTTGAAAAACTACCAAAAAATGCTTGCATAAAATCATAGATTTGGGTGGTGATTACTACCCACACTAAAGGTACTCCTTTCATGTTGTTTTCTCCCTAACTTTATTAACGTTTTTTGGTGAAAAACTTTTGTTATAACCAGATATGTCATCCTGTAATATAGGCATTTCCTGCTATTTGATATCTATTCTTCACCCTTTGTATTCAGGACCAGGACCAGACATTTGACTTTGGTTTTTTTGTTTACATTTATTGGGTTGGTGGGGAAAGTTCTAGCTATTTCAAAACTAAAAAGTCTTTTTGGCAGAATGTTCTTGAATTTAAGCCATAAGTGTACATAAAAAAGGGTATGAGGAGCAAGCGAGTACAGCCAAGATAACCTTCATCTTTTTAGCATGAGTTTTAATGTGCTTTTGAGTAATTCCTTTATTAAAATAGGCTTAATATTGCTGAATCAAGTTCTTATATTAACAACCCATCAGAAAGGATACTGTGAGAGAATATAGTGGAAACTAATTAGGTCTTTATTTTGCAAGATTGTAGTTTTAAGCTTGTGGCTATCTTGTGGTGGTATGCTTGCGTGTGTTGCCATCTATTAGCACCAGTGAGAAGTGCAGCAGCATACAAGTTTTGCATGATCTTGGGATTTGATCTTGCGTCTGTTACATGGGAGTTGGAATATCATACCGCTCTAGCAAAAGAGCTCCTATGCCACAGATTCTGATATTTGAACTGCTTTGTAATGCAAGCATTTGTTTAACTCTTGAGATCACTACACACTTTCCTCCCAAGCATTTCTGATGCAATATAAGGAGATACAATTGGTCATTCCACAATGACCACCCCCAATGATGAGAATGATCATTGCATTGGATAACCTGTGCCTGTTGCTCCAATGTGGGGGCATACTTAGTTGGTTCCATTGATGCATGGTGGAGCATGGTTGAAGGAACAGCTTGCCCATGTGTGACATAGTTCTTCATTTCTCCTCAGCAGGGGGAAGTGTGTGTAGTTCTGGGTCGCCATTGTAGTGATCATGTTGCTATATACTTGGTCTGTATGTAGTTGCATGCCCATGTTGCCATCTATTAGCACCACTAAGAAGTTCAGCAGCACACAATGTTTGTATGCCCTTGAAGATAATGATCTTGGGATTCAATCCTGGGTCTGTTATTTGGCAGTTGAATACTGCTGTTGCAAAAGAACTCCCGTGCAACAGATTCTGATATTTGAACTGCTTTGTAATGCAAGCATTTGATTAGCTCTCGAGATCACTACAAATTTAAAAATCTATCTGTGTAAAATAGTATACTTCATCATTGATAAACCTATTTAAACTTAGCCAGACATTGTTCCTTCAAGGTTCCTCATGACCTCATATGGCTCAAGCTACTGCCTAGAAGTTACTAAACCTAAGCTGGAACATTTTGCCATGTCCTTTACACAGCCAGTATTTTTCATTAACAGTTTGCTGCAGTAATTCTCTTATGAAGCAATGAGCTTTAAGTGAAGTTGAAATGTTATATTGCCTGGCAAATACTTTTTTTTTTCAAAGCCAGCTCATTGTTACAGGTTTCGATCAGAAATCATTCTGAATGTTGGTAGAAGTTTATCAAGGCAAGTAGTGTCTGGTTTTCTATAGTTTGTGGTTTTGTAATGTATATTCCTAAGCAGCCAGGACTTTTCCAGTAGCCCAGTATATATGCATTCGTGCATGTGTATAGTACATTATTTAGGTTTTGCATACCATTTCAAATGGCATTCAGTGCATTTTGTATTTTTAGAAAGTTGCATAATAAAACAAAAAATTAAGCATGTTCGTAATTCGATGGATTTTTGATTTTCAAGATGAGTCTGAATCCCAAGCTGATCGATAAACAGGGAAAAATTGTAATAAAAAGTTTTCTCCAATTTGCATGATTGCAAAGTGTCAGCTAAGCGAAATTCTCGCCTTAATGAATTGAATATCCTTGTAATTATGTTGTATGGTCAAAATGTGCTAACCTGTTCCTTTGTAAAGCTAGTTTTTAAATTCTTTTGTTTGTTTTGTTAACATGTATTTCTTATCTAGTAACTTTCTTTTCAGTTGATTGCATATCTGTTCAGCAGAAGTTTTACCATGATATCAAGTCATCAGCATCATGTTTGCAACATGTTAATTTACTCCTTATGTTCCTGTAATAATGCATTATATAATAGAAAAATGCTAGATATGACATGAATTCTGGAGTGTTACTGAGAATTAAAATTAAATAAGCAGGTGAATGACAAGAAATTATTTAATATAACATATAGTTTCAAGGAGGCAAGAAGTTCTCTGCACAGCTAAAGAAATGTTAATTTTATTTATCTCCTGACAAAGTTTGAAAAACTGTTAGGTATACAATATTAATAATATGTATATAATTAGAAACATCCCTTTAGTTCTGTTTTTGTGATTGTCAACGTGGAAAATCTGTTCATCATATCACTATTTTAACTTTTTTTGTGTATACTGATTCCCCTTCATGCAGATTCTTCAATCATTATCTACATATTTTGTAGAACAGTTGCTGAAAATCTCTAATGTAATTAATGAATTCAAGGATAATTTATTTTTCAACGATTTTGTAAAAAAGGCTTGGACCTTTCTGTATGTAATATCAAAATACTGTAACCATACAATGAATTTAAAAAGTATCTGTAATGAGGCAGGCATTCAACTAACATATAAATGTTTGATTTTATGCTCTTTTCAAGTACAGAAAAGAAAATATATCTCGGTGAAAACAATTTATTCTGAGAATGGATATAAAACCGAAAATAAATAAAATAGTAGCAAGAGATTACTATTAATGTTAATGAATTCAGTCATATTTCTCATCAGTGTCCATTTGTATTTGAGTTCTTGAATTTTTAAGATGAGCTTTTTTTTTTTTTTTAAGTAATTTATTAAAAGGGTCTGTGATACTTTTATGAATAGTTTATATATATTCCTAAAAAGAAGTATTTTGAAACACCTTTATTATTATCAAACTATTTATTATGTATTAACATAAATGTA